TCTCTCTCTCTCTCTCTCTCTCTCTCTCTCTCTCTCTCTCCTCTCAAGTTTCCTATCTTCTCAAGATCGGGGCAAAGGAAGGAAAACATCGAATTCGCCTTGCTCTTTCAGGTAGGGTCGCACACGTTGGTCCCGCCAGGGACCTTTTACCATTTGCCTTTGCCTCGCTGCATGTCTCATCTCCCCCTACTCCACTCTTGGATGCTCCCTGGAAACCGAGGAGGCTCAGATGCCCCTCTTCTCTCCAACCTTTTAAGAAATAATTTTAATACTGATCATCAGAAACATATTTTCAACTACAATAAGACCCAGGAGCCTGCTCAGCAGCACGTTAGCCTAGCTCTTTTATAGTCTCCAACTTTGCACACTGTGATAGCTGCTGCCTGCCTGCCTGGTGTTTGATCAGGGAGCCTCACGCTTCTTCTCTTATTGTGGTCCTCTGCTCCAGAGCAGCTGTCAAACGCGTCGTTTCGCAGCATTTGATCTGCAACCAGCTGCCTCCAAGACGTGGTCTTGGGCAACCATGGATGGGCAGGGAGAGAAATTTTGATTTGATTTGATATCATTTTATTGTATGTTGGAGGAAGTGAAGACATGAGGACGGCAATTCATTGTAAAGAAGAGAATAATAATTGAAAAAGTGAGCTGGTTGCCCCTTGCTTTTCCCGCTGTGTTTGTGGAGGGTGGTCTTGATTAAAGGGGTTGTGGCATGAAGAACCCATCTCTCCTTTTTTCCCCACTCTCCCTTCTAACCTATTCCCTTCTCCAGATCATTTGTCAGTTTAGAGTCCTGGCGTTATTATTTCATGTGTGCATAAAACAATGATAAAACAGTGTTTGCTGAGGATGGGGTTGGGGAAGTTCCTGGCAGAGCAAAGACTGATTTGATTACTTGGTCATCTTGCTACCCCCCCCCCCGCAAAAAAAAAAGAAAGAAGAAAAAAGAAAATTCTCCTCTCCCTGCACTCAGTTCACAGAATAATTTTCATAGCATTAACTCCAATTCCCAAATGAAATGACACTGTTTGGGGTTACTTGGGTGGTGGGACTGAAGGCAATTTTAAGTGTATTTTGTTTTTATTTTCCATTGCTTGGCAAAGAGAGGTGATGAAGGCGAAATTGGATATCTCCAACATGCAATCCCTGCTGCTTGTTTTCTTGGTGTGGGATCCAGCCAGGTGAGATATTTCCTGTGTTTAACTTTTAATTCGGGGTAAAGGTGTGTTTTTGAATGCCATCAGTACAGCTGTGACTTATGAAAATCAGGGTGTTTTGAACAATTATTTCTCATGAAAAAGGACTGTACCAGAGAGTGAACTATAAAGTGGCAGAAAGTATGAAAAGTTTGCTGATTCTTGTTTTTAGCAATCAAATGTAAAACTGAAAAGAAACATTTTAATACAAATAATTCACTGAAAAATATTCTTTTAATGGCATATTCACACAAGGAATTGAAATGATTAAATTATAGACACTTAAAATAAAACAAAATTCAGTAAAAAAAAAAAGCCAAGTTTTCCTTCAAGCCAGACAGCAAAGTATCCATTAAATTATTTGAGTTGTAACTTAATGTTTTCTTTCCTGTTTTGAAGATGGTCTTGGTTCTGTTAGTCAACATGGAAAACCTAAATGATGTGTAAGTCTTAAACCTCTAGGTGGAGGTAGTATACAACTCCACAATCACAAACAATAAAACAAAAAGCTTGATTTATTAATCTACTTTGCAAATTATTAATTTAGAGATCTTTTATTACTCAAATGGTTACTTTCAAAAAGAGTACTTATTTCAAATATAACTAATTTTAGTTTGCCTATGCTCAACAAACATGAAATTGATTTTTATTGCTTTCAAAAACTTCATCTTAGTTTTAGTCTTTTCTTATTTTTTTATAATCATAAGATATGACTTACCAAATACCAGAAGAATTAAAATACAAGTTTCCTGAGAATGATCCTGTAACCATGCTTTAAAAAAAATCCCAGTATCATTTAATTCCCTTTAAGTTTCATATCCATCCCCCCAAATGGTCAAAGTGTGGAAATACTTTCCCGATTTGAAGAAAATATATACTGATAAAGACAATGTAATTTGAAAATATCTACTAGTTTAACATCTGAATATTGACTTTAGAAAGAAAATATGAAATGTAACTAAAACTCTGTTGAATGAAAATCTCTATGTGAAACTTCATGACTATTTTGGGGATTAGTTTTAAAATAAGCATAGAAACTTTTGAGGCTAGAATGTATGAATTGACTTACTTACATAATTTGTAAAATGTTATTTTCATGTTAGTTTTTAAATATTTACTCTTAAAGCAATAATTACTAGAATTTAGTTATGATTATTTGATGTGTTCTTACCTTCTAGCTCTGTATTCATTTAAATATAAATGGATTCTCTGAATGGTATTTTACACAATACACCTTGATCAGAAGGTAATTTACCTATTGTCTTTGATTTTTAAGGCATGAACACTCTATCCTCAATTAATAATGATTGCAAAGCCTCAGTGGTTAACTAAAATTCTCTCTACTAGTTTTCTGTTCTATATTTGACCAGAAATGTTCATGCTAGTATTTTATTCTATTATATAAATGATTCTTTTTTGGGGCCAGTAATTTAAATCTCTGAATCATTCTAAGTAAAAAAAAAAAAAAGGCAATGAAAAGGGACATTCTGTTTTATACATTCAGTTCCTTCTTCACCAAATTGCTGGATGTCACAAAATCAGGTCTTTGGCTTTATGATGGACAAATAATGGAGAAAATCACCGTTTCTAAACCCTTTCTCGTGATATTTTAAGATCATTTGTTCTTCCTACAAATTTATCGCCATAAAAAGGTAACTGGGCATTTTAATCTTTATGTGATCCCTTAGTCCTCTTCTGAGAACAGTCAGGAGGGACTAGCCCTCCAGGGCTTTGCAGCTGTGTGTGTTGCTGATGCCTCCAGAGCCCACCTCCACCTTCTGGCTACAGTGAAGCCTGGCACACAGCCAGAGGAGTTTCCCTGATGTCTATATTGCAGTTGGCCATTGGGTGGAGGTATACCCAAAGTAAGGAAGCAATCTTGGTTTAAAAGAGCAAAAGACATAAAAAGAAAAATATATTTTTGAGAAAGATGGAAAAATTTTGTATCTCGAATCAGGCAATTTGTTTTCAAATTAGTATTCAAAACAGTGAAGAGTTATAGCAGGAGCTTCATTGATTATTATTATTGTGACTGTGAAATAATATTACTAATAGTGTCTGCAAATGATAATCTATAATCACATTGCAATTCTAGGGAAATAGTAAGAATAACATTTAAAATGCTAAGTGGAAGAAATATCAAATAGTTTTATCATAAAACTTCTGACAAGCTACAATGTAGTATCCAATTTTAACAGCATGTTCACCTTCCCTATAGACATACTGGTATTTACAAAGGTGAAAAAAAAAAGGAGAAAAATGAGTGGCACTTATAGTTTAGGGAGCCTTAAAATCAAATCAAGAAATAAGAGCATGGTGGCACTTGCAAAACACACATATGTGTATATATCAGCTTGTAAAATTATCTGTTTAGGTTGGTGCTGGCTAACATCCAAGAAGATGAGGCTAAAAATAACATTACCATCTTTACAAGAATTCTAGACAGACTTCTGGATGGTTACGATAATCGGCTTAGACCAGGACTGGGAGGTAAAAATATTTTCCTTTTTAAAACTGTCACAAAATAATGCCTTTAAAAGGTAAGGATAATATTTCCTATTTTAATATATTTTATATTTGACTGCATTGCTGTGTATTAAAATCATAGGTAATAGAAAGTATTTATATGAACTAAATATTATCTATGATTTTTTTCTACCTACATTAGGTATTTAGCATATTTTTTATAGAATGCCAAAAACCATATGAAGCCTAGATTTTCTACATGAATACTTTCAAATTAATTTATTTCTAATATCTTAATGTTTGAATCTTAGAATATGTTAGAGTCTGCCATTATTGAGCTGATATTCCAGTGTAATATTTTTGGTTACTTTCAGCATATTTCATGGTTGCCTGTCTCATACCAGGGTAGTTATGCAAAAATAAGAAACATAAAGAAATAAAATAATCTGGATTCTATCTCAGTAAATATACTTTTTAGGACCCTAAAATGAGTTTTTACATGCAAATATAGCATGGGTTTACCTTCAAACTTTCAGACATCTTAGCTATACATAGGTTATAAGCCTGAATTATTTGGTTGTGGCACAGTTTGATTTCAAACTTAAGCATTAATTTTCAACTCATGAAATGAATATTTTTTTATCCATGAATTTAAAGGAAATTAGGCTTGGCTAATACATAAATTTTTAATTATCTTTCAGCATTGCTAGGTGTTGCTAAAGAATTAGGTAAAATAGGGTAAGTTTATAATTCCTAAAAGGATTCTTGAGTCGAAACATTCCATTCCTGATTAATTATAATATGATATACACACGTATATACACATATATATATACATGCATATATGATATATGTGATGTACATAATCATACCTACATGTGATAAATACACTTATGTATCCATAATTACTAAGACATTAATTAAAAATCAAGACAAATTGATCGAAGAGTTGATACTAATCAAAGATTTACTCAGCTATCCTGATTATTGTCAGGTTTGGCAACTTTCTGATATTAAGTTACTTTAAGACATTTCTGTTGTCTGGGGACCTATAATCAAAGTTACTTGGGAGCCTGAAGCAGGAGATTTGTAAATTTCAGGCCTGCCTCCGCAACTTAGTGAAATCTTATCTCAATGTAAAAAAATAATAATAATAATTTATAAAGGGATGAGGATGTAGCTCAGCAATAAATCACTCTGGATTTAATTTCCAGTACCCCAACAAAATTTATTGACTAAATACCTGATTATTTATGTGAATAATCTTTTGAAAAATGTATGTGCATATTTTATGTATGCTTCATTGGTGGGTATTTGACATATACCTTTGGAAATTGTATGTTTTGGATTGCTCAGGGGTAAGAAAAAATCAGAGGAGACCCAAATCCTTGTTAAATATTGTGGTATTCAGTCGCTATTAGTTTTTTTTACTTGAATCCCTGAATGATATCTCATTTTAAGAGAAGTCTTAGGGAGGAATAATGTTCTCAAATATGACACATTATTTCCTTAAGGGAGAATTCAATGAGTTCATATATATTTAATAAAAATTAAAATAATGTTACCTTAGTAATTAATATATCTAAGTTCATATATATTTAAGAAAAATTAAAATAATGTTACCTTAGTAATTAATATATCTAATACGCATGACTATAAGGGCTTGCCATCTATGTTAGGATATGTGACAATAGGCTATTGCCAAACTCATATAATAGAAGAGATTCTAGCACAAGCCTGTCGTGATTCACGATATGGTTTCAGATATATATTGCACTAATGCAGATTTTTTTCTAAGGCATAAAATTTATTATTTTTAAATAAATCATATGCTGTCAAAAAATATCAAGGTATTCGAGGTAGACTTTGGACTTTGTCTCTTCATATTTTTAGGGGAAATATTTGCCCTGTTATTATGTGGCTGGGTAGCAAAAATTACCTGGATTTGAATATTTCCAATGATCTCTTTCTTTGTTTTTTATTATCTCTTAAATTTCCATATTTCCATTGTTTGACTCAATTATAGATTCTAATTACTTTGTTATTTTGACCAATGCAATAAACTAAGTGGTTTTTCTTGCCTTGTCAATCTTCTGATATTGAACATATGCTAAAATATCAGAGTCTTATTAGTCTTCTTTTAGTCTTATGCTGCTTTCCATATGAGACTCTCTTCCCTTGATCAAATTCTTTGATGGCTTCGCATTGCCTTTGGTAGATGGTAGTTTGGGATAGTGGAAGCAACATAGGCACTGGAGGCCAACAGATAGATATAGAGTGGAGCTCTCCTCCTTCCACACACACAACACTGTGCCTTGGCCAGATAGGGTCTGTTTCCTTTTATTTAAAATGCCTTTTGTTTTATCCACCTTTTTACCTTGTAAGGTTGTCGGGAGGATTACACAAACACTAAGTGTATACAAAGCATAGGTCCCTACTAACATTTCAACAACTTCCAACTCTTACCCTCATAATTTAAATTTCCAATTTATCAAGGCTTTCCAGAATCTACTTCTCTGGCTTCCTTTACCACTTTATCTCACCTCCCATCCAACTTGCTCTTTCATCTCTTCTATTCATTTTCTCTTGATAATTCATTCCCATCTGTTCTTTGACCTTTGGTGGAGTGATATTCCTACTCCTCTCGGCTTTTATCTAATACCTACCTTTTCCTGGAAAAATCATCTTAACACCAGTCCTCTTTGATAAAGATCTTTCTTTACTTAATTGTAGCATCCAGATTCAATTTTCTCTCTGTTGAATTTCTTTAGCCGTTTTTGGCTCTATATCTCATTGGGGACTTATTCTATGTTATCTTGTATTATTTATGACATCTTTATATGTCTCTGGACAACCATAATAAGATTGTAAGCTCATTGAGGCAATATATTGTATCATAAATTCTCTGTGATTTCAGCAACTAAATATTGATTTGCATATTGTAACTATAAAATAAATGTTGATTGCTTGATTAACTTTTCTATAATCAGTTAATCATCTGGAAAATGGGACTACTCATATTTTGCTGACCTTCTAGTTAAAAATGTTGTGGTGATATGTTGAATAACATATGACAGTATAGCTTAGTGAGAGAAACTAACTTTATCCTCTGGAGACTTAGGTAAAACCCCAGCAGTAGTATCAACTTTAAGTTGTGTAACTTGAACTCTCTGGATGCACTTTTGTTATTTGAATTACCATTCTTTGGATAATATTAAACATGATGACATATGTAAAGAATTTAGTATAATAACTGGCATCTAATAGTCAATAAGTGACAACTAATAGGCTTTGAAATTATTTTCATACGTATTGTTGCAAACTTAAATTAAAGTGAGCACTTTTTTTGCATCCAACATTCTTAAGCTTAATGTTCAGGGAAATTACCTTTATCATTTTATTTTAGAAATTTACAACAAGGGAAAATGGATTTAAGTTCTGTACATTTTTAATATATTGAAATGAATATCTCTGTTGATGGATAATCTAGATGACTAATCTCAGGTGTTATTTTAATTTACCATTACTTAGAAAAGAGGGAGTAGTTTTTAATTATAAGTTAGAAAAATTGTTCTTCTCACCTGACTCCATTACTTACTTACTAGATCTTACCCTAGAGAAGTTACTTAGACATTCTGAGACTTGATATTTTCTTTGGGAAGATAGGAATAATAATATTTTATTCTGAGAGGAGGAGAGTATATTGGGATTCAGATATATGACAAAGGTTATATAATATATTAGGTTATAAAAGTTTGAGGTATTTAATGATTCATAATAATTCCTTTTAAAAATTTAAGTCAGATCACACCTCTTGTCTGCTCAAAATCCTGTAATGCAGCTATATTCATTTGAAGATGATTTCTTTGGTAGCCTCCAAGGCCCAGCATAATCTTTCTGCCACTTTTTTTAACCTTGTCTCATACAACTTTAGGCTTGCTAACACTGCTTCAGTCACACTGGCTTTCCTTCCTGCTCTTTAAACAAACCAGGATTCTCTCTGGAGCTTTTCTCTGGCCATTTCTACTTCTGTGGGATGTCCACTGTTATCTCCCCTTTTCAAGGATTCCCACCATGACCAACCTAACACACATAAAAGTCTGCCCACTGCCTTATCCCTTTTATTCCGATGCATTTTTTTCTTTTCCCTTAACCATTTACCTTTTAATGTATAATATTTATTATTTAACATCACTATGTCATTTACTTATTTTTCTCTGAGATAAACGTAGTATCTATGAAGTCAAGGATTTTTTTTCCTGTTTTATTGCTTGCTTTATTGATAAATCTATCCTAAGCATCCAGAAAAGCGCTTTGTATTTATCAGGCAATTAAACGTCCCTTAAGTGAATTATAATTTAATTGATAATTAATATTTTAGGGTACCATCATGAAAAGAATCAGCTAGAGAACTTATATTATCTTTAAAATCAGTGTAACAATTAAGATTTAATTACCACATTGGCCTTTGCTACTAACATCAGCATAATTTAGGTTGACTTTTTGGTGAATTGGAACAATTATTCTACCAGTCACTCAAACTCCTCACTTGAATTAGTTTTGAGTTTGCCGTAAGCTAAATGTGTTATTTGGGGCAATTCATTTGTCCTATCTGTGGCTTCTTTTATGCATCTGTGAAATGGGACAATGGGTTGTACTTAGGCTATTTATATCTTAACAGAGATATTGCATGGATCAAGTAATTCAAAATTCTTGAAAAAGTATAATGATACATAAAATTGATCAGTAGTAATTTATTAGGAATAGCATAGGAGAAAGTTTCTAAGAACTTCTAAGAGGTAGTATTATATTAGAGGTAGAATTTTTTAGAAACACACCAAGAAAAATTGGTAGGACTTATGCATTCAGAAGATTTACTCTATATGAAATTGGAAACCTGACATGGGATTGCCTCAGAATCTTATCTGACAAAACCTTACATTCAGATTAGCTAGAAGTAATAACTGAATCAAGTTTTCCTTTGGTCTTCATGTTACACATTAGAGCTAACCACTTGGGGGATT